CATTTGTCATTTATAATATTTGGATAATTCTTTCCTCAAATTCAAAACTGAAAACTTTTAAAATCACAAAAAAATCGTAAAACACACAGATTTTTTAGAAATTACACTAGAAAATATAAACTTACTTTATGTTTTGAAATCACAATAACATAAAATAAATAAATAGTAAGAAACATGGAGATATTTCTTACATATTTAAAAAACCATTTACTAAACCGTTAACAATTTACATATTTTTACAATTCAATCATAACTTTCGCCGAAGTTATTTTTCAAGTCAACCATAGTTGACTATGATATGGGATGTTACATACATTGTGAAATATCATATTCATGTTGACAATATACATATATAAGGTCTCTCAAATAGTAAAATAGAATCGAACCTCGAATTACATTTTTAATGTAAATATTTTAAATATCAAAACTCAAGAATAAAAATATATCTTAAATGACAATTATATAAAACACCCATTTGAAAAAAATTCAAAAATGTTAAATTTCAAAATAGACGAAATTCAAAACTATTTTAGCCGCGGCATAATTAATTATAAATTTTATAAATACGACGGTTTATGACATCTAAACCCCTACCGCTATTGAAAATAATTCTGTTAAATTAGCCTAAGTGCTTTGAAACTCATACGAATGTTGCTTTTTACCAATTCCATATTTTATAGATTTAAATATCAGTTAAAAGTATTACAATTTGAGGATATAACAATTTGATAGATTTAAATATCATTATGTCGACGAGAACAAATTTAATTTGACTCGTGTTGAGTTGGTGTGTCCAGAAGAGTGATGTGTGGACAATTCCACGTCAGCAGTAAAAGTGGAGCCCACAAAAGAATCACGAGGGTACGAAAGAGCTCCGCGTGTTGCGGCACACAGTAAACCACAAGCAGGCTTTGCAAGAGCGCGTTGCAGCCAGCCTCCAACACGTGGGGTCGAGACGTTGACACTCACTTGGTCAATATCTAACTCTTCTTCTACATGTTTGGCACTTCCCATCAAATTACATAAGCGACTAAGCGTAAGACGATAATAAACTAAAGGACACAATTTTATTGGGCCTTTAGTTAGGGTCCCCGCAAAACAAATTGGTTTTTGGGTTTTGCATTTAAAAGTTTCCGGTACACTCGTAGGTTTTTTTGGTAAACGGGTCTTCTTTTGTACAGTGAAAGGAAGCAAAAATGAACCACAATTTGTCTAATAGTCTATTCACGCAACGATTAGAGCACTGACTAAACATTAACATTTTGAATCTTAAAACAACAACACGAACATAGTTGAAATCAATCCTACTTTCATCGGTAGAAATATAATATATATTCCTAAAGTTTTGTTCACAAATCTCTTGGTGTTTGTTAAGGTGTCTTTTCTCGGTTGTCTTCTGTGTTTACAAAAGTTTTGTTCCTAAAGTTTTGTTCACAAAGAGTTGCCATAGTTACTTTTTTTCTATAGAGTGTTATGTTCTATCGATTTTTGTTTTTGGTAGAAATTGTTTTATAACAGGGAATAAAATCTAATTTGGAGTTCAAACAAGATTTTCAATCGGATTACTGCTAGACTCGTCGTAGCTTTAGCCATGGTTGCAACCATCGCCTCAGCATCAACGACGAAGCTCCCACATATTTATGTGGTCTCGGACTTTCAAGTATTTTTATCAACCATCACTTCAAATGATTATTTTAACAACTTGAGTTCTTCGTGACCAATAGTCAAATTTAAGATTGAATTTCTAGAAAAACATTATCGAGCATATTATCAATACAAAACTTCTAGAATATGCAAAACCGTCTATCATAGTCCCGTCTGTTGTAGAGAAAGTTGTTTTATCGTGGATGATGCATACAAAACCATCCGTCGTGATCTATGTGTTGTGGAGTATACTATTGACGTAGAATCGTCCGAAGAATTGTTCGTTGTGATTACATCTAGGGGCAATTGCAAAAATGCAACTTAGGAGTGTCCATTTGCAAAATTGCATATAATGAATTTCTTTTTTTTTGAAAAAGTGGCATTTTTGCAAAGATTTTGAAAAAATGATATTTTTGAAAAATGACACTTGAAAAATTAAGAAATGACATTTTTTAAAATTTCTCTTACATCTATTGCATGTTGTTATATTCGACCAATTGATCATCATTTATGATATAACAAACAAAAAGTTTTGCATTTGGTATTTCGATAAAATCAATTTAATAATTTTTAGGTTTTATACTAATAATGCAAACTTAAGACATTTCTAGTTTCTTCTAGGAAAACAAAATCTTTCAAAAAATCCATTTGGTGAGACAATAATTTTGTTAGTTACAAAACCAAAAAATGAAAGCAAAAATTGTTGCTATTCGAAGTTTAGTTTAATTTCCGAGTCGAATTTAAATGCTTCATAAATAAGGAAAAAAATTGGAAAAGTTATCCTCGAAGAGAAGACAAAACATCAAAAAACAAATTTCCCCTAAGTTGTTGAATACAAATTTTCTCAACCCAAAAAAAAAACACTACCAAATTTAATTGAGGATAAATAACTGATGAGACAGAGACTCTATCTATGATAAGTAACCAAAGAGCGAATTATCTTCTGCTTCCATTTCATCCATTGGACCAAAAAATAAGATAGAAAAAAAAATAAAAGGTGTGGAAAGCTCTGTATCTCATCCATGGCAACTATACCCACCACAGCCACCGCGACCATGTGTCCATCTCCTCCAGTCCCAACAATTTCTCCGTTACTCAGAACAACTCACCAATGTCAACCATCTCCTTCTTCCTCTTCCTCATCTTCCATAAAGCTTGGTACGGCTCTTGTATCTGAGAGCTCGGTGATGATCAAACATGAGAAACGGGGATTTCATTT